CGCTTGGGGGGTCTTCTCCACGGCAGACAGGGCATCTCCAGGGTGGGGCCTCGGACCAGAGCTGCCCAGACTCGGGGTCTTGCCGCCCCCTTGTCCTTCCACGGCCCCCTCCTCATCCCCGCACCCCAGAGTTCCGAGAAGTGCCTCCCGCAGCATTCCCCGCGCCCACGGGGCTTCTGGAAGGGTTTCCCCAGGAGGCTGTAAGCAGCGAGGGACTCCAGCTGGGCTCCGTGCTTGGCCCCAGGAGGCCCCGCTGGGTCCCGCCCCCCCACCCCTCCCTGCTCCATCTCCGACCCACGGGGGGTCCTGAGCAGGGCACTGCCCTCCAGGTCTGGGTAAGGTGGGCTGTCACTGCTGATGCTGCTCTCACAGTGAGAAGATGGACCAGCCGCTCTGGTGAAAAACTCCCCAATCACCCTCCACAGGGACATGCCAATTAGGCACAGCCAGCCTCCTGCCCTCACCACAGGGAGTCTTTGGGGGTCGTGATCAAGGCAGAGCGGGGTGCTAGGGATCCACGCAGACGCCCCCTGCCCCCCAGATGACCCACACTGTCCCTTTGTGTGGGCTGCACGCTCGTACCCCTCCAAAAGCCACATGTTTGCAGTCTACCCCTTGTGATGGGATTGGGCTGTGCTTCTGTCCCCTCCCCTTTATTAGGGTCAGACGAGGTCACGAGGGGTCCCCCTGGGGGGTCAGTGCCCTTGTAAGTTGGGGAGAGCTTGCTTCCCGGCTCTGTTCCCCTCCACCCGAGGGCCAGCTCGGAGTGGCCGCCTGCACCCGGGCACGGGGCCTCCCCAGAGCCCCAGCCCCTGGACTGCTAGGGATGAGCTTCAGGTGCTCTCAGGCGTTCCCTTGCGGAGGGCGGGCCAGTGCGCTCAGGAGCCCCACCTGACTCGGGGACAGCGCCCGTGCGCCCGCGGGAAGCTCTCCTGCCCCTCGGCTCGGTGTCCTCCCGGGACCCCGGCTGCCGTTGGCGACGGGGACCTTGGCCCCAGGGAGGGGAGGCACCTTGCTCGCAGCCTCACCGGGCCCGTGACAGCCCATCTGGGACCCAGGCCTGCAGAGCCTGGAGCCTGTGTCTTCAGGACACAGCGCAGGCGAGGTGGCGCCCGGGGCTCGGGCTCCCTGGGCCCCGGCTGCCTCACCTGCACGGCTCTCGGGACTCAGGGAGAGGCACGAAGAGCTTAGTGTTTCAAAGTGCCGTGCGTGGGAGCCCCCGGCCCCGGCCCCGGCCCCGCCCCCACGCACACTGCTCCAAAGCCGGGTCCCGGGGGGCGGGGCCCGGCTCGGGCTGACAGGCCATGCCGCCGGACCCCGGGCGCCCGCCCACGGGGATCTCAGCTCAGCTCAGCTCAGCGGCGGCGGGCCCCTGTGGCTGCCCCTTGCCCTCAGGCATGGCTCCTGGAGGGGACCAGGACCCGGCTGTGCTTCTGTCCCCTCCCCTTCAGTCCTGCCACTGTGTTTTCCCAATTCTCCAGGCCCAGCCCCGCCCCGCCCCCAGGCCTTTCTGAGCTGTTTTCCTGCTTCTCCCCCCCCACCCACCCCCGTTTCTATTTCCCCCCAGGCTTCCTGCGGCTTCCCTTGGCCTGGGCTCAAGCCCGGTGTGACAGGGCCGTCACTGTCCCCCAGCCCCTCCCACCGTGGGGGCTGGGTGCTGTGTCCCACGGGGAGCCTGGGCCCCCAGCCCAGCCCCACTCCCCACCCCCCTGACCTGCTTCCTCTTGCCCCGGGATCCGGGGCCAGCTGGTGGGCGAGGGCCACGGGACGGAACCTTCCCTGGGGTGCCGGGACTGCCCGGGGGGCCTGGCTGCTGGGGGTGGGCTGAGCGGGACGTGTCCCCTAGGTGCCTCCTGGGCTGCCGCTTCTCAGCGGGAAGGGGGACGTTTCTACCTGCCGGTGCTTGTGGGGTGGGGTGGCGCCCAACGCCGGCCACCCACAGTGGCTTCCCCGGCAGTGCTGGCTGGCGGGTGCTGGCAGGCAGGACCCGGGCGCAGCCCAGCCTCCCTCCCCACGGGCTCTGACCTTGGAAGGCCCCTGGGCCTGTCCGACGGCAGGGGTGACGAGGCTTCACGAGGGTTTGTGGGGATGGACGCAGACAACAGACAGAAGGCGCCCTGGGCCGTGCTGACGGCAGGGGGGGAGGGGGGCTCCAAACACTGTCATTCGCCCTCACGCTGCCCCTGGTGCCTGACAACCTGGGCTGGTTTCACTGTCACCGTCCCAGACGGAGGGGCCTGAACTCAGTGGGACAGCGCGTCACCTGAGGTGCCGGCTTCCGAGAGCTCGGGCTAAACTCCTCTCAGAACGCACAAGGCGGGGTACCACCCCTCCCCCCAGCACACGCCCCCCACTCCCACGTGTCCGGCCGGCAGGGCAACCTGCTCTTGTGTCCCCGATGCTCGGGGTCGCCCGGCCGCCGGGGCCTCCAAGTCGACTCGCCCAAGGGAGACGTCAGCACCTCCCTTCCCGTGGGCCCACCCTGCCCACCCCCGGGCGTCACTCCGGCTCCATCGCCGCGTTCCTGCCGACTCGTGCCAGGTGCCGGGCTCTCGGGGACCCCCTCGCGTCCGCCTGGGCGCCAGAGCCCCTGGTGTCCCTCAACTGCCACCTGCGGTCAGCGCCACCAGGGGCTGCTACAACGGGAGCCAGAGGGGCCCGTCTTCGACGCGTGGTAACTCACTCATCCCCCCCCACCCAGGCTTGGCCTCCGTTCTCCTGCTGTGGAAGCAGATGCCCGGGGACGAGGCGCCCGCCCCAGGTCGTCCGGGGAGAACGGACACGACTCCAGGCCTGACCGCCGACTCCAGGCCTGACCGCCGGGCTTCCCGACACTTCCAGAGTTGGCCGCTGCGCCCGCCTTTCCTTCCGCTGGTTTCCTTCCACTGGAGCCACGCTCCCTCGGTTCACAGGCCCCTACGCTGCCTCCGCCTCCAGGCTGTCCTCCAGGACTGCCGCCGGTCACTGTTCAAAGATGCAGATTCCACCCCACGGCTCTCCTGCCGAAATCCCGCAACAGCTGCCCCGGGTCCAGATCCGCAGCAGCGTCTGCGCCCACCTGTCCGGCGTCCCCTCTTTCCGGTTCCCAGTCTCCCTCCCCGACTGCCCGTCCCACCTGTCCCCAGCGCACACGGGCCAGCCCAGCTCCGCCCCCAGGCAATTCCCTGGACTTCGTGGGGTTCTTCTCAGCTGTGCCCTTGAACCTGCGGCTCCCTCTGCCGGGCACGCCCTTCCCGGCCACTTCCCTTCTCAACTCTCCCTGAGCCGTCGGAGCGCAGCTGGGTCTGGTCCACCCCCAGGGAAGCCTCACCCACACGCGGGCCAGCATGAGCCGTGACCAGTGGACACGTGGACACGCTGGCCACAGTGCCACCACTCCCCAGAGCTGTGTGGACCCCATTCCGGCCCCCCTCACGTCTGCTGCGTCTGAGCTCGGTGGCAGCCCTGGAGGGGGGCAGGGGAGACGGCCACCCCCAGTTTGAAGGTGGAGAAGATGGGGCACAGAGAGGGGCGTGACGGAGCCGTCAGACCACATCCAGGACGCGAGCCAGCCGTCCGCACAGGCGTGGGGGGCGGCCTGCGTCCCCACCCGGAGGCACGAGGGGGCGGGCAGTGCCAGGTGGGCACGCCGGGCGCAGGTGGACGGTGACGGTCCCATCCACCCACCGGCGGGGCTGCCACCCCCCAGAGCCCAGGGGTCCACCTGCAGAACCACAGAGCCCCTCGTGCGCCGAGGCTGTGCTGTGCACCCAGCACCACCTGGCCTCACTGGTGTGCGGAAGCCCAGTGAACGCCCCCTTCTCCCCGGGAAGGCCTCGTTGATGCTGTGGACAACACGGCCAGTTCTGCCCCTGCACCCCGTTTCCGGCTGCCCCTGCTCTGCTGGTGCCTAAGCAACCCTGCGGTCTTCCCTCTGGGGGTGGCGGAGGGGGGAGGCAGCCCTGGCTTTCCTGGCCTTGGGTCTCCTGACCGTGGCCTCTCCCCTGCCCTGCTCAGGGGTGGCCTTGATGGGGGAGGAGGAGGAGGCTGGGGACCGAGGTCCAGCTCTTGCTGGGATGGAGGGCGGGAAGGGGAGAGAAAGAGAGCCGGCAGGGCCCGCTGGGGGTCACGGGGGCGCGGACACGGGACCAGGAGGCGGGGTGGGGAGGGAGGCCAGCCGTGGGGGGTGGGCACAGCTGGCGGCCAGCGCCCCACCGCTGCTGGGCCCCGGGTTTATGGGTTCTCGGGGAGCCGCCTCCCCCACCCAGGGAGGGTCAGGACGGTCTGGTCCACACCCAGGGGCCGGGACCAGGGCAGGGCCCTGGGCTGAGCGACCTCGGGGCGGACACTCCATGCGGAACCGGGCTTGGTTTCCCCTGCAGATACGCCTCACGCCCAGTCTCCCACCTTCGGTTTCTCCCCAGGTGCCCGTACACTGATCCGTCAGACACCGATGCACGCACGGTCGCTCCGGCCCGGGATGTGGGCGCAGACCAGCACCCCACCCAGGGCGGCCGGCTGCACCTGCCTGGCTCGGCCCTCCCTCCGTCCTGCGCCCCCAGCACCCCTGCTGGGCGGGAGAGGAACTGCAGGGCTCCCTGGAGGGTGGCCGTGTCCTGGGTGGCCAGTGCGTCCCGGCGCAGCCCCACCCGAGCAGGGGGAGTGGGTGTCTGGGCCACCCCGCCCCAGAGCCCTGGGGGCTAGAGCAGCCTTTGTGGAGGAGACAGCCGCTTCCTGACAGTCCTGGGGGCGGCCGGCCCCACCCCCACCCCAGACTCCGGGGCAGAACGCCAGACGCCCCGGGGCAGCCGCCCTGGTGGCCCCACCTAGGGAGGTCCCGTTCCCACAGTCCCCGGCGGGGCCCGGAGCCTCCCTTCCCCGGATGCACCCTCTGGCGACAGCAGAGCCCCAGCCCAGCGGAGCCTGGGGCCCTGGCCGTCTGGACAAGGGGGACGGAGGGGGCGCGGGGCGGGGGGCGGGGGCGCGGGGCGGGGGGTGTGGGGGGCCAGGCTGGTACTCACAGAGACTGCAGACTCGGCAGCTGCCGCAGCGCCTCGGCCGGGATGCGCCCCAGCTGGTTGTTCTGCAGCATCCTGTGAGGAGAGGGGGGGCTTGGAGGACCCACGGTGGGCGGGGCGGGGCGCCTCCCTGCACCCCACCCCGAGGAGACCCCTCCCCGTCACCCCAGCTTCAGAGGCCGGAGGGGTCCCGGCCCAGCCCGGTCCGTGGGCAGGGGTGCCAGAGGCTGTGGGGGCGCTGGGAGGGGTCGCGGAAGGGTGCAGCAGAGCCAAAGAGGAGGAAGGCAGAGAAGCAAGGAGACGTATGGGCGGCACTGAGGTCGGAGCATGCGCCAGCCCCGGCTGCTGTGGCTCAGCGGACTGAGCGCCGGCCTGAGAGCCAGAGGGTCGCCGGTTCGATTCCCAGTCAGGGCACAGGCCGGCGTTGCGGGCCAGGTCCCCAGGTTGGGGCGTGAGACAGGCAACCACACCATTGATGTTTCTCTCTCTCTTTTTCTCCTTCCTTTCCCTCTCTCTAAAAATACATACATACAATCTTTAAAAAAAATTAAGAAGATGCACCTCTTGCCCCCAAATCACTCAGCTCACAGCCTTGGGGAAAGTGGCCCGTTTCCACTAAGTTTTAGCGCTAGGAACCGTGGACAAGTCGGGCACCGTCCCGGGACTGACCTGGGGTAGCTCCCACTTCCCCGAGGGTTTGGGCCAGGAGAGCAGCCAGCTGGGACCACCCGGGGCCTGTGTCGCGCTGGCAGACACAGCAAGGACAAGGGGCTCCCGCGTCCCTGTCCCCGCCCGCCCCCTCCGTCTCCCTGAACTCCCAGCACGGCGGCAGCAATGGGAGAAAGCCAGGTCTCCGAGGGTGGGGGGACCAGAGAAGCTCCCTGGGGGAGGGGAGGAGATGGGCCAGGGAGGGGGTCCCCCTGCGCCCGCCCCGTCGGGGAGGGCAGGCAGCCGTGGGCCTGGGAGCCAGGCCCCGCATGCCCGGTGGGACCTTTCCAAGGACAGTTTGCTCCCTGGCAGGGATTCAGACCCGTGCCTCTCAGGCCTCCTGAGCACAGGGCGGCCTCGCTGCGGGCCTGGGGGTCGGGCAGTGGCGGCGCCCTGGCCGAGTGGCGGTGTGCAAGCACTGACACTCCTGGTCCGTGGTCGGGGCCGAGGGCATGGTCCTCGCCCCTGAGGCCTCCCCGAGGCCTGGGAAGCTTGGGGCAAGGGGACAGATGTGATGGCACGCAGGGAGGGGACAGCCGCCCACCCCCAGGGCCCTCCCCAGGCCCCGGAGGGAGTCGCTCACACCAGACGCCCGCCCTTCCCTCTGCAGACCCCACACCTCCAGAGTCCCGCGGGGCCCTGAACCGTCCCCCCCGGCAGAGCTGCCGCAGCATCTGCTGTGTCGGGCCCCCAGAACGCCTGTCCTTCCCTGGGGTCACAGCCCTCAGCCAGCACTCGACCGCTGGGCCCGACTGTTTGCGCGGGAGCTGACCTCCTCTCCTGCAGGCGGTCGGATGAAAGGGACAACAGCCGCCACCACAGCAGCTGCCCGGTGTGAACGAGTCAAAATTACACGGGTTTTTGGTCAGACAGGTGAAAAACATGTTCTGGGGTGTGCCGTAAAATTTCAGGCGTCGGTTTAGGGGCCGTGGGGTGGCAGAAGCTGGAAACCGCTGCCCCATGCGAGGGGCGGCCTGGCCGCTGGCCCTGGCTCGGACCCGCGTCGCCGGCCGGCACTGCTTCCCGCGGCTCGAGGTCTGAAGCCCAAAGGGCCTTCACACGAACAGCCCCCCCGTTTCCCACGTGGGGGACACGGCGGCCCGGAGAGGGGAGGTGACTTGGCCCGGGTCACAGAGCAAACGGATGCAGAACCAGGACTCGGGCCCAGCCCTGCCTCCCGGGTGGCGGCTGCTGTGACGGCTGGTCTCACCTGGGGAGGGCGGCCGGCACCCCGGGGCTCCCAGCCCTGGCTGCGCCTGCAGTCGCCCGGGAGGATCTCAAGCCCCAGCGTCCTGGCCTCACCCTGCAGACCGAGCACCAGGCACAGAGGGGAGGGGCAGGGAGGCGACTGTCTCCTGGGGCAGAGAGGTTCTCTGGCCGATGAGAGACTTCGCTGCTTGATTTTCCTTGCGGGTCTGACCTGGGCCAGCCCCGCAGCCGGAGGGCCCGGCGCCGGACACTGAGGCGCTCCCGGCCCGGACGCCGACGGGGCCCCGGCTGGGCCCTGCTCGGGCGCTGCTCCGAGACCACCCAGCTCATCTCTAACACGGAGAGGCCCACGACCAGGAGCTGACGTGGGGCTGGGGGTCAGGGGTCTCCCAGGACAGGCCCCGCGGCGGTCATGGGCACAGAGGGCTGGGGTGGGGCGCGGGGGCGGGGGCGGGGGTGGCGGCTTTGCTTCACTGCCCGATGCCGGCGGAGAGGAAAGCCCAGCCTGCTCTCATCCAGCTGCAGGTCTGAGCCTGCACCAGGCGGGCGCAGACATGCCACCAGCGGGCCACCCGCCCCCACCCCGGGCTCGGAGGTGACGGGGCGGGACAGACCCAGGGCAGAGGGACAGAGGGCCGGGGCTTCGAGGAGATGAGGAGACGGAGGCCGGCCGAGGGGGTGCCCCCAGGGCAGAGCAGAGGGTCAGGGGAGGCCAGCGGCCAAGGAGCCCCGGGGTCAGGTGCAGAGGGAGGCTGAGGGCAGTGGCCCCAGGAAAGGGACAGGGGACGCGCTGGGCAGGGGCAGGGACGCCAACCAGCAGGAGCCCGGAAGCTGACGGCCACAGGCCCCCGCCCCCCAAACAACTTCGAGCAAACTAGACACACACATTCCTTCCGAGGGGGCTGCAGCCCGCGCCGGACACAGGGCTAAGTCCTGGCGCCTGTCACCTCTCGGACAGGCGGTCTCGTGCAGCGACCAGCCCACCCAGGTCGGGGTTGGGGGGCAGGGGGGCGGGGAACCACTGGCCGAAGCTCCAGGACCAGCCCCCACATGCTCGTCCCCCGCCCCAAACCAGCAGCCGTGGGAGGAGCCCTGCCAAGGAGACTCTCCTGCCCCCTCGGGCCCTGGGCACCCCCCTCACTCCCCACGCCGCACTCGCCACCAGCCCTGAGCACTCAGCGGGCTGGGACGGGGGGAGCCAGCGACGGCGCCTCCGTCCTCCCTTCCCTGACGGCCACCGGCTCAGTGGCCGGGGAGACCTCCAGCTGTCCCTTTCCTTCGGCTTCAAGGCCGAGTGCCAGGAGCCGGGACAAGGAAGCCTGATGCCCGGTGGAGGGTCAGGCTCGCACTGAGAGGACTCAGCACAGCAGCCACGGAGGCCTGGGTGGGGGCCCTGGAGGACGCTGGCCGAGGACTGCGTGTGGACACTCCCTCCGCAGACGGCTGTCCGCCCCGGCCGAGTCTCGGGGACAGCGCCGGGGTGGGTCCCGGCCGGCCCCATAGAGACCCTCACTCAGGGCATCGCTCACATCAGAAACCAGGACGGCCTGCTCTTCCCGGGGCCGCGGGGGAGACGCAGCCACAGACCATCCCGTCCGGCACAGACAAAGCCACGAGCTCACGGACGCACAGGCGGAAGCAGCGATTCGGACAGGAAGTGCAGACGGGGGGGTGCAGGCAGAGGTGACAGACAGAGGCGGGGCGGGGCCTCCCCGGGCCCTGGCTCCCCAGCCTCGCCTGCAGCGGCCGGTGGGCGGGAAGGCCACTCACTCACAGGATCTTCAGGCTGTGCAGGCCGGAGAACGCTCCTCCCGGGATGCGCGACAGACGGTTGCCCGAGAGACGCCTGCAAACCAGAGCGGAGGGTGTGACGCCGGCCGGGGACCCGCGGAGGGGGCCCGCCAGCCCGTGGGGGCTGCAGAGGGGGCCCGCCAGCCCATGGGGCCTGCAGAGGGGACGTGGGGCTAACTCCCGCTTTCCGGGGCGACGATGTCTACCCCCTTCACTCTCTCGGCCTCCCTGTGGGGTGCCTGTCGTCCCCCCAAATCTCGGTGGGGGGGGACTGTGACTCACAGGGGTCTGGCCCTGCCCTCAGGCCACAGGGCTCCCAGGGCCCGGGTGACATCCCCTCCACGGCCACCTCCTTTGGGGACCGGCCTCCCTGCCCCCCACAGCCCCCCCCCCCCGAGGGCAGCAGGTGGGTCCCTCTCTCGTCTCCTGTCCAGGACACCTGCAGCCGCCTGTCACAACAACAGGCCCCCTCTCGGCCCCAGGGTGAGGGAGACGCTATGTCTGGCCGGGGCTGGCCATGCAGGCTCCTGGGGAGGCCTGTCGGGGGCGGGGCGGATGTGGAACGGTGAATGTTTCCAGGGCCGGGAGCGGCCGTTTGCACAGTTGAAGCGAACCCGGTGGCTCCCCGGGGACCCTGCCGGTGCAGAAACCAGCCTGAGCGGGACAGGGGGCTGGGAGAGGGCGGGGCGGGGTGGGCAGGCCGGGCACTGCCCTGGGCGGGTCCCCTGTTCGTGATGCCCCGTGGAGGGGAAGATGGACCTGCCAGGTTGGAGGGGAAACCTGCTCGGGCGCAGGAGTGGCCCAGGGGTGGGGGCCGGGCTGGCCTGGCGGAGCCAGGCCGGCCAGGGGGGCTCGGAGCTGGTGAGAGGCGCCCCAGGTGTGTGCGCGGAGAACCCCGAGCGGGGCAGGGGTCTGCCGGCCAGAGGCCGGAGCGATGCCCGGAGGCGAGGGGCCGTCCGGGGCAGCAGCAGTGGGAACCGGGGAGAGGGGTGAGGGAGAATCCCCCCAGAAAAAGCCCCCCGGTCTCGGGAGCGGCCAGTGGCTGGATGGGTGGGGTGACCTCCCAGGCGAGGGGTGGGTGTCAGCAGAAAGGAGGGGGGGCACCACGAGGAGCCGGTCTCGGCGGGGTGGGGGAACCAACAGGAGTTTGGAGTTTCTACACCACGTGGCCCCTCATGGCCAGGCCATCCTCGGGCTCCCGCCTGGGCCGGGTGTCAGCAGACACCGGGCCCCCAAGGTCCACTTCCCGGCCCCTCGCTCTGGAGGGGCGCCCGGTCTGGGTCCCGAGAGCGGGCCAGCGGTCCGAGGTGCCCCCCCCTGCCCCCGGGCAGCGTCCACTCACAGCTCCTCCAGGAAGCGCAGGTGGCGGAAGCGGCCGGGCTGCAGCTCCACGAGGTTGTTCATGCTCAGGTCTCTGCGTGGGGAGAAGACGGGGCTGTGATGGCCGCAGCGCACCCCAGCGTGGACGCTGGCCCATGGCCGGAGCCAGCCCAAGTGGCCGCTGGCCAATTCGGGCCTTCGGGGCCCAGGGGGCATCCTCTCCCTGGTCTGTGTCGCCCCCGCGGCCTCCCGCCTGCGTGGACCTGGGCGCTGGCTCTGACCAGGGCCCCGACGGAAGCTGACCTCCATGCACGGGGGGGACCCAGAGGGACCCACAGAGCTCCAGGACGGGAGACGGGGGGCCACCCGCTGCACACAGGCCCTCTCTGTGCCAGGGGGGAAACCGAGGCACAGAGCTCCCTGCTGTCCCGACCTCCAGGGCGTGCCCCTACGGCTCCCACGCGTGGCGTGAGCGACCTTCTAGCCCAGAGCCGGGGCCGGCGCCGCCCTCCAAGGCCCCAGCCAGTCTCGGTCCTGTCGGCTGTCCCCCCCCCAACCTCCAACCGGAAGAGGCTGCGGCCTCTGGGCAGGTCACAGAAGGTGCCCAGTCCCCGAGGGGCAGGACAGACACCCGCCCCGCCCAGGTCACCTGTGAGCCCGGGCCGGCACCTGTGTCACACCTGTGAGGGCGTCTGTCTATGTCACACCTGTGAGGGCGTCCGTGTCACACCTGTGAGGGCGTCGGTGTCACACCTGTGAGGGCGTCCGTGTCACACCTGAGGGCGTCGGTGTCACACCTGTGAGGGCGTCCATGTCACACCTGTGAGGGTGTCTGTCTGTGTCACACCTGTGAGGGCGTCCGTGTCACACCTGTGAGGGCGTCTGTCTGTGTCACACCTGTGAGGGCGTCGGTGTCACACCTGTGAGGGCGTCTGTCTGTGTCACACCTGTGAGGGCGTCCGTGTCACACCTGTGAGGGCGTCGGTGTCACACCTGTGAGGGCTCGTGTCACACCTGTGAGGGCGTCCGTGTCACACCTGTGAGGGCGTCTGTCTGTGTCACACCTGTGAGGGCGTCCGTGTCACACCTGTGAGGGCGTCTGTGTCACACCTGTGAGGCGCGTGTTGCGGGAAACCCTCCCGCTGGCACCGTCTGCGCCGACTAGTCCGGCCGACCCTCCCCGGGGAACCTGCCGGTGACCCCCCCACGCGGGCGGGGCCGCTGCCGCCCCCGTTTCACGCGCGAGGGGACGGAGAGGAGGGAGCTGCGAGCGCTGCCCCCCGAGGCGCTGGACCCAGGCTCCCCTGCTCCTGCCCGTCCGGCCGCAGGCCGTGAGCCACTGGGACCCTCGGTCGCTTCGTCCTCGAAGGCGGGAGGAAGGGGCTCAGGCGCTCGGGGCCTCGGAGGGATCCCATGCACCGCTGCTCACGGGCGGCCGGACACTCGCACTCGGCCCGTCCTCCCGCCTGCCCCTGGGGGGCCATGGACGCCCGTCCCAGCCCGGCAGGCCCGGGAGGCGGGGGAGGGGCCGGGGCCACGGGGTTGGCTGGTCGGCAGTCCCGCCGGAGTTAGCGTTTTATTTTCCCGTGTGTGCCTGGGGGGCGGCGGGGTCTCAGGCCACACGCGTGTGCCCGACACCCGGGCCCTCCTGTCTGGGACTTTTGGCCACTGCCGGCCCCTCCCTGGGGGCCCAAGACCCCTTCTCCCCACAATCTCGGGGCCTCCCTCCCCATGAGAGACGCATGTGCCCAGTGTGCCGGCTCGGCACGGTGGGCTGGAGACGGCGGGACGCGCGGGAGCCCAGTTCCGACCTGCACCAGGACCCGTTACTCTGCGACGAAGCCCGCCTCGGACCGCACACAGCCCGGGGCCTGGCACGCGGAGCCCGGCTGCTTCGGGCCCTGGGTGCCCCCTGCTCCCCGTGCAGACTGGCCCCCTCGGAGGAGGGCCCGGGCGTGCCGGCGGCCACCCTTCCGCAGCGGCGCCCACAGTGGTCGCCGATGGATTCCGAGCCGGGGTTGGGCCCTCAGGTCCCGCCCGTCTGGGTCCTGGGGGGGTGTGGAGAGGCAGGGGCCCCGGGCAGAGCGGGGACGGGTGGCCCAGAAGAGCCGGTGCCTCGGCCCCGGGGTGTGCCAGGGCCTCCCCGCGCCAGCCTGGGCGCTGCACACGGATCTCCTCCAAGTGTTTGCCTCTCCCCAGCGCTCTGAGCGTGCCCGCACAGGAGCCGGAGGACGACAGCGCGGGCCGGTGACTCAGGGCTCCTCACTCAGCCGTCCCTGGGGCGGGGGGCACTCCTCTGATGTGGCTCCAGGCCCCGCCCCTGCACCCCCCAGGAGCAGCGGCCTCATTGTTCTCCCCTGGGGGTGGGGCCCTGCCCGGCCCACCCCCACATCCTGTCCCGAGACAATGCAGCCCAGCCAGGGCTCCGCGGAAGAGGGTGGGTTTCGGAGGGGCGGGGGCGCAGGGCGGGGCGCGGAGCCCCACGCAGCCTGGCCCTGTCACAGAAGGCGAAGGGGCGAGGCTGGTGCCAAGGGGGGCGGTGCGGAGGGGCGGTCGGAGGCTTCCCCGGGGGGCCTCCGAGGTGATGGGGGGTGCCTGGGGAGGAGGCTAAGGGCCCCACTGGCCCTGCTGTGGGGGGGCCTGCTGTGGGGGGCCGCGCCGGGGCAGGCTCAGGGGGGTGTCCTGCGGAGGTGGAGGGTCTGCGCTGGAAGGGGGGTGTCCCTGTGCGGCAGCGACCGCGGCTCGGACCTGCCGGCCCGGCCCGGAGCCGGAGCAAGAGGGCGCCCTGACCCCTGGGCGCCCTGACCCCTGGGCGCCCTGACCCCGGGGCTGTGCAGACGGGGCGTGTTTGTCAGGGGCCGCGTGTGGGGACACCCGAGCTCTCGGGTGCACTTGTGCTGTGGGGGCGGGGCGTGTGCGTGTCACGCCACACACGAGTGCATCTGCGCACGTGCGTGTGAGAGCGCCGGCCGGGTGGAGGCCGCGACCTCCCTCGAAGCGTCTGCGCGTCACTGGGAGACTGGTGTGGGCTGGGCGGGGTCTCGTCCGTGGGCCGGAAAGCCTAGGCTGCGCGACCTTCTCTTGGCCTCGGGTCCGCCCCCCCCACCCCCCCCCCCCCGTCCCGGGGAAGCAGTCCCGGTGGCTCGGCGACACCAGCCCCGGGCCCCACGTGTGGCTGAGCTGGAGCCGACACCGGGACACACGCCGGTCCACCACCGTCACCCTGCAGCCTCTCGGAGGCACACGCATGCACATACGTGTGTGCTCCCCCGTGTACACATGCACACACGGCTCCAGCCCTGCAGCCACACGAGGCCCTTGGTCCTCGGCTCAGACCTCTGCCGCTGCGTCTGGGTTCTTCCCCAGTTTCCGACGGCAGACGCCTCTCCACGGCCCGACCTGCGGTGCGAGGGTGGGCGGCTGCCCCGTCCAGCAGCCCCGGGTCCTCTGGGGGGCACGCAGCCCTGGGCGAGGGCCGGGCAGGGCTGGCGGGAGGCGGTGAGGCGAGCCGTGGCCCTGGGCGCGGGAAGTGGGGTTTCTGGCTGCGTGTCAGGAAAATGTTCTCGGAGTTTCGCCCTGTGAGGCGACCGGACCACCCAGGCGGCTGGGCGAGGCGGTGTCGCCATGGAGACCAGGAGCAGGTGTGCCGAGAGGGGGGGCCTGGGGGGCCGGGGGCAGGAACTGAGGGGTGGGGAAGGGGAGACCGTCCCCCACGGCGACCTGGCCCGCCACCAGGACCGCGGGGAGCTGTTCTGTGAGCCGCTCCTGTGGGTTCCAGGGCGGCTGTCCCCACCCGGCCGCAGCAGAGGCCCGGGACCCAGGCCCCCTGTGGGCTGCTCCGGGGGCCGACTCTGCAGCCAGCTGCAGGGCGGTCAGAGCGACCAAGAAGCCAGCCCCTGTCCCTGGCGTGGCTCTGCCCCAGGTCACCACGCCGCGAGGCCTGTCCCAGGCGGAGCTGGGCAGTGCCCTGAGTGCCCACACTGCCGGGTGCCCACTCCCTCGGGGACGGCGACGGAGCTCCCGCCACGTGCCACCCTGGTCACGCCCCCGACGCCTCCCAGCCTCCGTTTTCTGGCCTGTGACCCGGGGTGACAGCAGCACCTGCCTCAAAGGGTCGCGGCGGGAACCACCTGAGTTAACAGTGCACCCAACGGTGCTCAGGGGGATGCCTCAGGGTGCACTGGCCCACGGCAGCCCGCGTCAAAAGACCTGCGTGACCGCGACCTTCTTCAAGGAGAGGACTTACCCAGTGCCCGTTCGGTCAGACCCCACCCCCGACACCGTGAACACCCCACAGACGCAGTCCTGCCCTCGTGCCGCGGGGGAGGCGGCTCAGCGTCCCCAGGGAGCGGGGCACAGAGAGAGCCCAGCAGGGGCGAGGGGACGGGGCGGCCAGGAGGGGCGGGCGCCCGCCCCAGCCATTCCCAGACCTGAGCGCAGGTGGACGGCCCCGGAGAGACCCCACCTCACCCCGGGGAGGGAGCGTCCTTCCTGTGCGCACGCCCCCACCGCTGCAGGAGGCCTGGCGGCACCCGAGCTGAGGTTGCACCTCCCCCTGCGGTGCCCGTCCAGGCGGCCCCGAGTGGGAGGCACCTTCCTCTGGCCGCACGCCCTCAGGCTGCCCCAAGGAACCGGTCAGAGACGGGCACAGTCACCCGAGGGGTCGACCCCAGCAGGGGTCGGTCCCCCTGGACCGGGCCCTTCCTTCCCCACTGGCCCCCGCCTCTGGGCCCCGCCTGAGCAGAGCTGCCCACCCTGAGGTTCCAGACGGTCCGCTGGTGCCAGGTCCTCTCGGGCGGCTGCGGTTGCCCACGTCTCCGAGCAGGAGAGCCTGCCTCTGTCCCCACGCACACAGCAGCGCCAGGGGCTCTCCGGGGCTTTGCCCAGGGTGCCGTTTCTAACTCCCAATAGACACAGACACTTACTGGTTCCGGCGGGGGGGGGGAGAGCGGGAAACCCGGGTTGGCTGCCTCCTGCAGGCTCCCCAGCTGGGGATCGAACCCACAGCCCAGGCTCGAGCCCTGACCGGGAATCGAACCCACAGACCTTCGGTTCGCAGGCGGATGCCCCAGCCCCTGAGCCACACAGGTGGGG